TACTTTACAAAACTCAACTTGCCTATCAAAACCATCTCCAGTTAACTCTTGCAATATTTTCATTTTGAATGGATGAAATTTATGGATTTTGTAACTGTACGTACAGAGCCTAATGAAATACTAGTCGCTGCAACAATTTTTCTTAATGAAATATTAGGATTTATTCCAAAGTGACCTAAAACTTCAACTTGAGCCACTTCATCCAAAACTCTCCAATGATCACGTTTTTTATTTGGAACAGATCCAGTCTGAGTAAATTTAGTAGCAAGGTTGCATGGCGTTAAACGTGATGGCAGTTTGCCGAGTATATTAATTTTGGGCACCATAAATTAGAATCATTTCCACTCTTTCGGATAGTGTGTAAACCATTTTGGAAGTAAAATCTGAATCAATAAATTAATTTTCACTATCCCAAAATTGACACAAACGTAACTGAGAGCAAATTAAATTCTTTCTTTCCTTTAGCTACAAATAACTACACAGGTATAACAATAAATACAGGTCGCCCAGGATATCTGTGTTGATGAAAAGAATGCGGAAAAAATATTCGGGTTGTTATTTGGTTGTTGTCACGTCTAATCTTCTGAATTGCTGTTTAACTTGCAACATTTTGAACGCTTATTGAAATAAAAAGTGATATGTTCGTGGGTTTTTGTTTTCTATCTGAACAAATTATGATAAATAAAGATTATTCTAATTTTCTCGAAAACGAATTGACTGATCTCAAAAAACCAAACGTCAATATTTTAGTGAATGACCCTGCGGGGCCAAGGGTGAAAGAGGGTGAAGTAGTTTTTGGTTAAAAAGTTTTCCCACTTGACAAATCTTGTGAAGTGTCTCGGCGTTTTTCGTTTTATTCAGCGGTTTTTGATAAATCCGTTGCGAGAAGTTTTCAAACACCCTGTATACTAATATATTACACATTACAATATGATGTACCGAAGTAACTACATTTTCAGCATTATTGCTGTATAAAACGGTTAGCTGTCTGGCTTCCATTCCGAGTATTTTACTCAGACGACGAACACTGATAAAAAATTAACAGGCCAGCATCGGCAGTGCCGCCGCCTCAGCTGTCTGAACGAATTCTGTTTATCAGAGCCTCGTCGGCATACATAAATATGTCACATCAACAGGTGAGAATTGCCTTTTAAATAAATCAACCATTACCACAGTTTTTATAATGATGTGCATACATTTTTAATATATAGAGGACCTACTGGCTATAATCCTGTAGACAGGGACGGATTTTCGATATGATCATTACTAGTAATTGAAGGGCCATAGTAGATCATTAGGCGTAAGTAAAATAGGTGATTCGTTAAGAATAGTTTTGATCTGAAGTAAATAGAAAATTGCTGGAGAAATTGAAACAACGCTATAGCTTGCTTTGTGATAATCGCCATATAGGAAAGTATCTAAATGTTCAAGCGCAATAAGGCAATAAGGTATATAGAATATGAGATCGAGGATCCTAGTCACGCCGTGGTAATATTTCACCTAGAAAGCCATCTAATCTTAAATTTGAGAGAAGTAAGTCAACTGCTTAGTGGAACTATTATGGGTCTATCACACGCGCAAGCTTCACCACAGTACCGCAGGTAACACTGTGGGGAAGCTTGAACATGGACGTGGCTCCCACACGGCACAGTTAAGTACGCACAAGCCACATTCTTGCCAAATTCGTCGTCGTGGAAACAATGTTTCCCAATGAATAACTATTATTTCTGTTGTTATATTTTAAGGTTTTGTTAATGAAGAAGAAGACACTACTAAAGTCTAAACGTAAACGATCGAAATGGATGGAGAAATAGCTGCTGAAGTTGTTTAGTTAACATATAAATCTACTAAAGGATTTAAGAGATGATTCAAACGACTGGCGTAATTATTTATGGATGGATGAAAATGCCTATAGTGAATTATTACGCTTGGCTACGCCTCTCATTCAACGTCAAAACTCGGTTATGCGTGAGAGTATATCAGCTCACGACAGGCTGACCGCTACTTTGAGGTTCCTGGATACTGGATTCTTTTTATTTCTGTCGGAATAATCCTGGCACTTAATTTTCCAGAGCACTGCTAAGGATTTTCATAAACAAATTAATTACGTCGTGAACTCGCGATTATATGAGTGTAAATCTGCCATTTTGTGACAGTGGAACGCGTACTTACCAAACGACAACTAGCCTCTACTGTGGTTTGAACACTGAACACCCAACCACACGCTGGAAAGTACGCGCAGTCCAGGCTTGCGCAGGCCAAATTTCAAGCAAATCAAAACTCGCGCAAGCTACGCTGCGAGGTTTGCGCAAACCAACGGAATGCCAACCACACGCACAGTGTTCCATGTACAAACCGGTCTGCGTTGGTGAACTTGCGCGTGTAGTAGGCCAATTATAAAGAACTACGTAGTTGTGGTGCTGCTACCTCGGAGTTTGAATGGAATACATTCTCTCTGACAGGAACAGTAAAATAATATGGACTTCTCTTAAGAAACTCATTAAGTCACCTATGAATAGTCTACCAGATAACTTCAGTGACGCAGACTAATTAAATTCACATTTCACAAATATTCCAAGCATAAACAAGACACAAGATCAATTATAACTGCTGAACAAATATCAAAACAATCAGTTTTCCAAGGCATTTTGTTTCCAAAAGGTTGCCAAAGGATCTGTTGCAAGGGGCTTATCATCTATCAAAAATAATGCTGTATTGGCTGATGGAATCTCACTCGTTATGGTAAAGTACATTTTCACATTGTTTTTATACGACGTTATATTCATTATTAATTACGCCATAGCAACATCCTGCTTCCCAAATGCGTGGAAACAGGCTACAGTCATACCTATTCCTAGAGTACCTATTCTCACATATGTGACGCAGCTTAGACCAGTCAGGTTACCTTCCGCAAAAAATGATAATCATCTGCTTCAATACATGAGAAGTAATTGCTAGACACTCATAAATATACCTTTATGTCTAGAATCCGCTCCTGTCTCCATACTCGATCAACCTTGCACAGCGTGCGGCACAACGGCAACGCTGCGCGGCAACGAAGCGCCAAAAGCACTGAAAAAAATCATAAATAATTTAGGGTGTATGGTTTTTATGATAATTCCACTGATTAATATTTTACAGCAGCATATGCGGCTAGCGCCAATGCCGATAGCCGCTTCATTGTTCTATTATTTGAATCTCATCAAAAAATGTACGAGTGCGAGTGTTTGTGGTATGGCCTGATTTCGGAGTTGAGATTTTCCTAAGGGTAACTGGTCTACCTTATGTTTTTAGATACTAGTGAATTTAAGAGTAAAACATTACTGCATATCGGTTTTCTAAACTGCAAAAATTGACATATATGTACATAACGTATGAATCACAAGCAGTTGAATCTGTATCGGTATACAAGAGACATGCACAAACCTCTTGGAACGAAGTGAACCGACATTCGCCAAATTTTGAACAGAGGGTTCCCAATCAAACGGTGGTGCCAAATCTGACGGTGTTTTATTTATTGCTCATTAAACGTCTATCGTCTATTAGTTTAATTCTTATAACTTCATACGATTTATTATTGGAAATGTGGAAACATTATTAAAAGCCCAGATACAGTCGAATGTTCTCAGAAGTCCTGGACCAGTATCCACCAAAATTTGAAGCCAATCGAACAGTAAGAACGGTGTTGCGATCATTTCCATCTGGAAAAAATACTGTTTTAAGTTCATACGTAACAGTTCAGCTTCTACTACTTGATATTAGTAGTTCTCTATCACCTCTTATTGTCACCTTAAAATAGCGGAATTCCGGTCAGTCTACTTATAAACATATTTGGAAGTTGGAAGTACTAGACTGTTACCTACCTGATTTGAACAGAGGCATAGCCAGTCCTATCCGATCAGACGATAACAATTTCATTTTTGTGAGATCTGTATTTATTTGGAAAAAGTCACGTCGGCAGAAGCCTAAATACCATGGCACCGCGGCTGCTATGAGGAGCTTGAAGAAAATTTTGTAGTAGTAGCGATGTTTACAAGTCTGACGACATTATGGCTTCAAAAATATTTGTCAGGATTTTGACGGTCTGAATTGAGAATAGCTATCATAGTACATACTTCTTAAACGAATGCTTTCAGTTGTAAGGTAGAACATTCCTTGTGGAACACGATGTAAGTCTAGTAGTATAGCTTTCGTTCACCCAGCCACAAACGGCCAACCATGGACAGCTGTTTCGAGGTATTTGGCAACTTGTCAGCTTTATGCAGCTTGGTCTCGGTGGACAATGAACAAAGGCTGTGGTGTAGCCAAATAGCAAAACACAGCTTTTCATGATTGGCTGCCCGTGGTATGACGAACGAAAACTATATTACTAGTTTGTTCAATGGCGAGTGGAACATACCTACTATAGTACCAGAATCGTAGGCAACTAGCGGCCACAGTGGTGACCCAGCTGATAGTACGTGCTGGGATACAGTTCCAACATACAGCTTGCTGTTTTCACTATCGCAGTGGTGAATTCTGGAAATAGATCGCGCTTCTGCTGTCTTACTATGATATGTCGTTAAAACGACTCATTGGTGTAGAGGCGCATATCTACTTCCAAACCGAGGTCCGGAGTTGGACAGCTTCAGTTCCTACACTAGCATCACATGCTTTTGAATTCTGCATTTTCTGATGCTACTGTCAGAATGTGTGCATTTCACATGTTCCACTAGAAACCGCGGGTCATCTTTCTTCTCCTATAATTTATAGTTGCCACACAGTACTTAGATCTTCACCTTCTTCCAACTATTTTTAATTTATGATTGAAATTGAAAGATCGGTACTAGACGAGAATTATGGTGTCTTCCAAGTAAAGGAATCTTCGGATACCCGAAAAGCAATCATTGATTTTACGCATTACTAGATAAAAGTGGGAGAATAATGTTGACATATTTCTCGCCAAACCTATGCCATATGATATTTCACTATCAATATCAAATGTATCCCTTTTGTTTCAGGGTGATTTGTTCTCTGGGCTTAATGATGGCCTCATCAGTCGAGCTGAAGCACTCGCGGCTGTGGACATCAAGCATCAAGCCGGAGGCGGAGGCGGACCTGCAGGCCTACCTCAACTTAAACATGACATGATGTATCATCACGGCATGGGCGCACCTCCGCCAGTCAGTAGGCCACACCACCAAGTGAGTTTGGAATTCATTTTTTTTTTAGGTGAAACATATAAAGCCAGTCGGAAAAGTTTGATTGTTTCAATGTGAAACTATATTTATAGGGTCATTTCAGATGCTGTCTCAATTACACGACAATTATAATATTAAGAAATGGATACTGTTACTAAAAAATTAAAAAAGTAAATTCAGTACATCATATGTTATTTTCCTAATCGTAGCTAAATGTGTGTAGTCATCCTAAGCCATTAAAAAAATATGTTATGGTTAATGCCATCGAACATTTTGAAAATTGCCATGACATAGGAGGACGTGACGATAGCCATTTCATCACCAAGAGTAATGTCTTTAACTGAATCAACATCAACTTCTTAGTAAATTTACTAAATTCATTTTTAATCAATATTTCAAAGAAAAAAAATGTCAAGCAACCGCTGCAAATTCACCAGTATACCAGATGTTACGAATTTCTGCGGCACTGATCAGACTGAATAAAGACAAAATAATAATACTGTTCAAATAACGCTGTGGTGAAATAAACTTTACTCTCATAATACAGTATATGCATACAATTTTGAACGTCGAACTACACTACCTTCAGCATATTTTCAAATGAGAACGGGTTGAAGCTTTTTGAACGGATTTTAGCTAATATATTCAAAATGGTTCTTCTTCAAAAGAAGTAGTCTGACAAAAATTGTGAGGCGATTAATGTATATTGTAGTACCTTATTTGAAACTGCAGTAAAGTAGAGTCCAAGATTTCTCAATCTCTACGCCTGTGGTCTAGTCACAGACAAAAACATTTTTGTCTGTATTGGCTATTAATGCACGATCTATTAAGCTTTAATGAGGCATTTTAGTACCATGGCTATATGGACATTTCGTATCTACTATTTGTCGTTGTTCATCACTGCGGTACGGTGGGCCTTCGCTCTTAGTTAAAAGTGACGTCGGTCTGTTTGTCAGGTGTGGCTACCCAGATACGCACATGTTCTAGGATGGACTTGAGTCATTTTGACGTGCTTTTTGCCCTAGAAATATCGCTGCTATTTTCTGAGTCAGTCTGTAGTATTTTAAGTAATATCTATAGTATACATACTAAGTACCCAAACCTCAAAAACCTGACAAGCATGGATTTCTTGGAAAAAGCTTTCGACAAAAATTTCAGAATATCAAAAAAGCACTCTGTCTATGACCTGTAATATGACCTAGGTCAATTTTGTAAATTCAAATAACAATCAAACATTTTTGACAACAGATTCGTGTCGAGCATTTTACATCTGAATGCATTATCATCTGTGAGTTCAAGAGGTCATAAGTATGACCTACTGTAGCGTCTGGAAAGTTCACGAACAGGGCGAAAACCTAAAACCACGCATTTTTTCTGGAAATGTGTTTAACGGAAGGGTTTAGAACATCTGAAAAGCAATTTGCCCATGACCTCAAATATGAACTAGACAATGACTCATTTGGAGGTCAAGTTTGAGAATTCAAATAGCAATCAACATTTTTGATAGCAGATTTGTGTCGAGATGGGGGTTGTACTTTAGAGTGCATTTTCGTCCATGAAGTCAAGCGATCACAAGTGGTTCAATCAGTATGACCTACTGTAATGTCTGAAAAGTACATGAAAATATTGGTCTCCTTGTTCTACGGGTATGACACCTGCTGAGTCTGTTCTGTTGGACACTCGGAAAGTAAAGTATACCACCAGGCCACATAATGTAGCCGATCATCAAATCCGGATAGCTCAACGAAGCAAGATTACGAGCCCCGAAGTGATTTTATAACAAAACAACTCATTGCTAGGTTGTTGCCACTTATGAAACTCTTATGAAATGCACTAACATTTTTTAATGAGTATTCGTTTGCTGTTTAGCTGTGGAGAATTTGTTGGTAATCACTGTTGACCGTTATAGTTGTATTTCTTTGTTTTCTAAGAACCCTATCACGCCAGAGTGTAGCACATACCTCAACGACACTACTTTTTGGTCTCGGGAACTGTATTCAAAAAATGCCTGGTTATCGAGTTTTCGACGAGTTCGTGTTCTTTTGAGGTCTACACATTACTAATGACTATTGACCACTTGACCTCACTGGAAATGCAATTGGATTGAAGTGTCCCAAGCTAGACAGATGTGCTGTCAAAAATGGTGGTTGCTGTTTGCATTTGCAAACTTTACATATTGCATTTCAGATATCCTAAAACTTTTATATTTTTTTTTTTAAATTCGTGGTTCCAAGTTTTGGGAGTGTTCGTGTACTTTTGAGATGTTACAGTAGATCATACTGATGACCTCATGTATGAACATGCACTCTAATGTAGAATCTCGAGCACGGCTTCTGCTGATAAGACTGGTCACTGCTATTTGAATTTACAAATTTGACCTCCAAAATGACCTCTAAGATTTGTGATCATTGAAAAAATGGTTTTTTCATATCTTGAAAATTTCCTTAGAAGCTGTTTGCCAAAAAGTTTGTGATAGCGAAGCTTTCGGCATATTCGGGGAGAGGTACAAAAACATAATGGAAAATTATCAAGAGAATAAAAACTGATGGAATCAATGAAACAATCCGGAAATCGGTAAAAATACAATGTTGTATTTGCCCCATGTTACATTAGGTAACACTACTTGGTAATAAGGTTCCTTTCCAGAATTGCCCCATTTTCGGCGGAGTTTCAAAGAATTTGGAATAATACAGCTCGCATCGAAGCTACTGATATATTATGAACGCGATCACATTAGACACTTGAACAAAGACAACATACACAAATAAATCTTCAACACGTAGGATAAGTGTCTACAATCTTTACACAAAATACAATCCAAAGCTGTACTCGTATTTCCCATCCTAGTCGAAAGAGATAAAAACCAAGACTCTCAAACAATTTTGTGAATCATAAATAAATAGATCGACCTGGCGTAGAATACAATAATCAAAAAGCTACAATGAACCAATTGTTTTGCGGTCGTGACGGCAGTTATCACGTGAAGCAATCAAAACGATTATTTTGATGACTCTACGCTTGGACACACCATGAACGGGTATCGAAATTCTTATTATTTTAAATTTTGTTGTCATGCCTCTTATAAAAAAACCTTGCACGAAAAATTGCGTTTTGAAAGAAAGGCTAAACAATCCTATCATGATCGTGTGAAGCCTATGGCAGAGTCCTCTTTTATGTATTAGACCAACTTGGTTATTTGCTGTTTCAATTAAAAATATAAATGTAACAATGGCAACGTAATACGTGCGCGATACAGCTTGGAGCAGCTACTTGGTCCTTGCTTTCTTTTGCATTACTTTACACGACACTTGGCAAGTCTTAAATCTAGAAAACTAAGTTACATGTGATGTTTTGAAGAATCTACACTTTTGGTTATTAAGGATAACTGGTTCAACAAGAATAGAAAACTGCTAGTTAAAATTCAGGTTTATCGAATTTGTGAGTTTCCCCTCAGGTTTCCATTTTTATAGTTCAGATTTTTATATCAAATTCCAATAATTTACTGACATCTCTCAGAATCATGCCGTGCTCAAACTATATAACTGCCAAGTGGCAATTCGGCAAACCTTACACTGAATAGTCACCATAGAAAACATTTGAATTTTTCATGAGTCTTTTGACAGCAGGCTGATCAAGTTAAATAAAAGGCTAGGATTATTTTATGAGCTTGGTTAATCCGGGCACAGCTATCATTATTACTTTTACATAAATTAGCAGTACAAGAGTTTGCTTTATATCCGAAATCCATTAACTCCCAATTTTCCATTTAGCTACTCATCAAATTTTATGGGGAGTGATTCCATAGTCTCCATTAATAATATTTAGGCTTTATAAGATTAATCTGTTTGCTGTTACATGTCTCCATAGTCCGATGTCAGTTACCTAAATGTCAGGAAAACGTATTTTGTATTTTTAATTTGAAAATTCGGTGGTAACGTGGTACCCTTCAATCGTTGTTAATATTATAGGCAGTTTCAGACTAAGCGACCATAGTGATTGAATAATGACTCCTTCTATTTTACATATATTTGCTTGCTTTGTAACAATAATGATCTACCAAAATATTGACCTCAAAAAAATTCTATTCTATAGTCGGTGTACAGACTTGGGTAGCGTTGTATGCGGAAGGTCGTGGGGCTGGAAATCATAAGACAATAACCAAAGCTCAATGCGGTACACGCTGCTGAATTAGTACTAATTTATATCTTATTATACCTCCAGTACAGAAAATTTCAAGATTATGGTCCGTTATCACGTGAAAATTATACTTAGTTTTGTTTATAGAGACATAAATGACAAAAGACGTAACTGATCGTAAAACATGAATCGGTATCGGAATATAACAGAAGTATACAGTGCTTTTCAGAAAAGTCCCCCACCCATTTTTTTTCACGAATCAAGTTATCAGGTTGAAATTTGAAGCAGTGAAATCGATGAAATACTATATTTTAACATGAAATAACGTTTGAAAATTTCAAGATGATGGCTGGGCACCATTTTGTATTATTTTATTCAGTATAGTGATAAGTCGTATGATACCTCATTTTTAAGCTAGTCATAAGTACTTTATGACCCTAGAACATTAAATTACTCTTTTTCAAAATGGCGGACAGGAGGGCTGTCGGATCCAAATCTTTATAACGTGTCATATCAATCTTCTTCGCTTGCAAGGGTCTATCTAAATATGCAATCAAAGTGGGAGATTTAGGTTCAAAAAATTAATTTTAATAATGTTTTCACATGAAATGTTTGTTACATACATACAGAGAAGAATATTGATATAACCTATTATAGCCCTTTTATCATTGATGGATGATGGAATATAAGCGACTCAATGTACAAAAACGCTCAACTTTGATCGCCTGTCGGTTCGCTGAGAGATGGTAATTTTTTTCTTAGCTTACGAGATACTCATTAGGAGATTAAAAACCATGTATACCCTGCCCCCCACTCTATCCAAAAACAGGTTTCAAAATGGCTCTCAGCCGCCATCCTTGAATTTT